CAAATGCCCTTATTGGCCCCTGAGCAGAGACCAAAGCTGGTATCAGAGACTCAGTCCAGGTTTCCCAAATGAGCAGTGAGAATCCCATCACTCGAGCCATCATCTCTGGCTACCTTGGTTTGCATTAATGGGAAACAGGGCTCAGGAGTTGGATTTCTGACCCCAACCCAGGCATTCTGATAAGAGCTATGAGCATCATAACTGCTAGGTCAAACACCCACTCCTTAGTCATATTTTCTCAGTCTTAAGTGTTGGTGGAAACAGTGGAGCCCACTCCGTAGTACTGTTTAGCTGAGCCACACAGCAGCTGACGAGGGCCCAGGGATGGATGCGATCTATATTTTGTTATCATTGGATACCTTGTAATTGCACACTTTATGGTCATGCATGTTTTATTCTCTCGTTACGTTTTCCAGGGGAATAACCAATTGGCTGATAGAGTAACAAACGAAGAGTAACCTGACTCCGTTGACCCACTCAGCTCTGCGTAGGAACATGGGAAGTAGCAGCAGTTGGCTTTGAAACGGGGGAATAAGTATGGAATAGCTCTTTTCATGGTTGCCTTCTTTTATTTCTTTGCATGTCTATTTCCAGACCAGTTGAAAACAGCAGGTTGTTCCTGTTTGAAAACACAGAATCGGAGTTATCGGAACAGGTGCTCTAAGTGACTGGTCATATTTCTGCTCCATCTTCAGATTGCTGACTATGTAAGTACTGGTGCGTAAGAAACATCTGTTTTCAAATCGCAAACACATAATTATGCTGGGGGGAACCATCATTCTTAAACGCAGGATTGGCATTTGGGATGTGTTTAGCATTAAGCTATACATTATTTGGATTATGTGGGTTTGCTCCAATAAATAGATTTCTCTGGAAAAATCATAGAAGTAACAAAATGGTAGATTGTATTTGGTTTCCCCAGTGAAGCCACTGAAAGTATTTTGCTGTGTTTAATTATCAAACCGCCCTTACTTATATATTCATTTTCTTACTTGTGAAACGATCTGGCCCAGAAAGGTATAGTTTATTTTTTTTCATCTTTCAAAGCTTACATAACAGATACAGAAAGGAAAATTTCATTTTAGCATGAAAATGTAGACGAGTCCTTCTGAGACCCATGAAATTAAAACTTTTTTTGTTCTCTTAATTTTAAGTCAATGTCCCATTTTCATTGGAGAACTGTATCTTCTTTTAGTTAAGTGAAACAGATGAGTAGTATGTGGCTGGCAGGGCTTTTACATTCATCACTACAATTAGACTATTCTATTATAATACAACTAGAAAGTCATTTTAAGTTTCACAAATTAAGTATCATGTATAGATAATAAACATGAAATTATTTTGCATGACTTGATTCTGCTTCACGCCCAGTTGAATGATGCATAGATAAGAAATTATGGATAAATAATAAAGATTTAAATTTTAAGAGCATTAGAATTCAAAAGGCTACAGAAAAATAATTCATAAAAATTGTATATGTCTTATCCAGTTAGTTAAAGCTATTTAGGAAGAGCTTTTAGAGGACATTTTGGCTACTACCGTATAGTTCGCATATCCTCAGGGATGATCATACTCTTGCTGTCGCACATTAAGGATTTCTGTGTATTAATCTGAAATTAAATGTTACGTAAATCAATGAAGAGTCCGAATTCTAGCTCTATAAAAGACACAAAATTATGACAATATTTCAAAAGCTTTTTGGAAAATGAAACTATACAGTGCAAAAACTTCCACAGTTTTATAATAATATGCATTTTCTCATGAACTTGTTGAAGAACCCTCATGTTGTTTTGCTGCTCTATGCACAACGCAACCTTGTCTTTTTGATTCCTTGTGTTTTGATGATAAGTCGGACAATTACTAAACACCTTAATCAACTATTGATCCACTATTTTTCTTGTGTTCCAATATAATGCAACTGTTTTTTAATAAATCCCTTAGCTGACAGATGTTATCTGTGTAACAAGAAATCTTCTAAATGAAAGCAAAAAAAGATAAAGCAGACAACAAACTCTCTATAAATACCATCCATTCTAATTAGTCTCTCCACACCATAAAACAACAATCAGCTGCTAGATTTTATTCAGCAGGAGTAGATCAGAATGTGACTAAATTTGTAACTGACGCAATGACTTTAAAGCATACACGAACCAAAGGAAAAGTTAGTTACTGTGCCTCTACTGATGTGCATTCCTATGGATAGAACTGCCTGAGAAATGGAATCTGCCCTCCCTGGTTTCCATTGGAAAGAAGGCTGTGGGGAGGAATGGTCTGGGGCAAGGAGAGTCTGTTGCTGGAGCCTGTGTTCGCACTGGTGCTCCAGATAAGGACCCTTGGCAAGCTGTCTCCAGCATTGCTCACTGGCTCGGGGGTCACACTTGACTGAGCCCAATTCATGAGGATCCCTCACAGCCTGGGACCAGACACAGTGTAAGGCCACATTGGTTTAGCGTTACCACTACTCAGAGTTCCTGTGAGAATTAAATGAAACAGTGGTTGTGAAAATTATTTTTAAATTGTAAATATGAATATTAAGTATTGTTTGATGTGACACATTAGCAGGAACATGGACTTTAAAATCTAGTATATCTGAATTCAGGATTCATCTATGTTGTAAGCATTAGACTCAATTTTCTCGTCTAGCCAATGGGTATGCTTCTTCCCACTTAATGGCTACCAGCCAGTTCTAAGAAACTTTAGAAGGTGGCATTGGACATCGTCTCACGAACATCTCACAGTCAGTACAGTAAAGGGCTATCTGACAGCACTGTGTGCTCGAGTGCTTGATTTGGGCAGATCCAAGAGAACATGGCCATTGCTAAACGCCAGGCTCCCTTGAGCTGTGAAGTCCCTGGAGGGCTGTTAGTTATTTTATCAAATGAAATAAATGGCTCTCCTGGAATGAAGTTACTTGTGTCAACATGACCAGTCTGTGTCAACCTCATGGGCAAATTTCGAGGAAAGACAAGTCATCAGAATGTCAAAGTGCTCATCTGCTATCATATGTAATTGTCATAATTATGGGCCAGGGCAAAAAGCTCAATCCACCATGTGACAAGTATGTTTTCTTTCTCATGGCAGACCTATGTAAATTGTCAAATAACAATCAGAAGGTGGCATGATGAGCATGGAGTTAGATGAGTCAAATAAACGTTTAACATCATTGGGCTGAAATTGTTAGGTGGATTTCTCTCAACAGGAACCAATCACCTGGTCAAAATAGACTTGAATCATTTGACTCTTTCCCCTCAGTAGTGCCTGGCTGGGTAAGTCAGCATTTACCTCTGTGTTTTTTTATCTTCACATCCATGTCTGATTATTTTTCCCATCAACTGGTGTAAGAATAACTTGGGTGGGGCCAACTTTATGGCAAAATAGGTTAAACTACTACCTGCACAGTAACATCTCATGTACTCCACTTCTGATCAAGTTCCTTGTTAATGTGCTGGGGAAAGCAGCAGAAGATGGCCATAGCATTTTTTTTTTAAATTTTATTTATTTTTATTGGAAAGGTAGATATACAGAGAGGAGAAGAGACAAAAGGAGGAAGATCTTCTGTTGATTCATTCTCCAAATGGTCACGATGGCCGGAGCTGAACCAATCTGAAGCCAGGAACCAGAAGCTTCTTCCGGGCCTCCCATGCAGGTGCATGGTCCCAAGGCTTTGGGCTGTCCTCAACTGCTTTTCCAGGCCACAGCAAGGGAGCTGGAAGGGAAGCAGGGCTGCCGGGATTAGAACCGGTGTCCATATGGGATCCTGATGCATGCAAAGTGAGGATCTTATCCATTAGGCTACTGTGCTGGGCCCTGGCCCAAGTGTTTTTGTGGGGCTCTTGTCACCCACATGGGAGACCCAGAAGGAGTTTCAGGCTCTCTAGTTTCCACCTTGATTAGCCCTGGCCATTGCAGCCATTTAGGAAGTGAATCAGTGCGTGGAAGATCTCTCCCCCAACCTCTCCCAGTCTCTGTGTTGTTCTGCCTGTCAAATAAATAAATCCTAAAAATAATAATAATAATAAAGAAAAATCAAATCAATGGTTCTATCAGATTTTTCAGGCCTAGAAACCATTATACTTTCAGATGACTTTAAGATAAAATAGCTCTTCATTTAGCCATAGCCACCAACCTCCGGGTTTATTTCTCCAAAAATGGTGTTGGTTTTCTCAATGCCTGAATTCTTTGGGGTCCCTCTCGGATCCCCCCACCAAGTACTGGCTCACAGGATTAAGTCATGTGACACTTTGAAAGTTATCTTTCTGGCACGTGGAGGGTGCTCAGTAAATGTTAATTTCCTGTTCCCCTTCCTTTCTGTGCAATGTAACAGATATTAAGACTTTTATGAACCCTTGCCTATGCTCCTGGGATTATAGAGATTAACACAAAATAGGGTGCAGCCCTTAAGAAGTTCAGAGCATGTTAATGGAGAGAGACATATAAGTGAGCAATGTCTGGGTGACCATTATAATAATAATTTCTTTTTTTTTTTTTTTTTTTTTTTTTATTGTTGCTTACATTGTATTATGTAGTACAGTTTTATAGGCGCTGGGGATTCCCCCCACCCCTCCCATAACCCTCCCCCCATGGTGGATTCCTCCACCTTGTTGCATAACCATAGTTCAAGTTCAGTTGAGATTCATTGCTTGCAAACACATGCCTAGCATAAAGTTCAGCGTCTTATTGTCCAGATAAGTTCAGTGGCCTCTTGGGGAGACCTTCTATGGTCTGAAGATAGGTCTAACAGAGTAGAGATCCGGTCAGTTAAAAGCCCCAACAAGGCCTCAGTGTCAATATACAACATTATGGAATTAATTGACATAGTAATGGGTAGACAATATGTTAAAAATAATGCAAGTTCCATTCTTCGAAACATCTGGGTTGAGACAGTATCAATGACAGGTTCAGAAAATAACCAACAACCAAACAAAAAATTACAGGTTAAATCAAGGCAAACATGTGGTATCTAATCTTTTGGGATTCACTCATTTCCCTTAGCATTATAGTTTCCAGTTGTGCCCATTTAGCCACAAAGAACTGCATTTTGTTTTTTTTAATAGCTGAGTAGTATTCCATGGAGTAGATGAACCAAAGCTTTCTTATCCAATCTTCTGCTGATGGGCATTTCGGTTGCTTCCATGTTTTTGCAATTACTGATTGTGCTGCAATGAACATAGGGATGCATGTTGGTTTGTCGTAAAACAGGTGTTTTGGATATATTCCTAGGAGTGCTATTGCTGGGTCATATGGTATGCAGATTTTGAGTTGTTTGAGTGTTCTCCAGACTGATTTCCATAAAGGCTGTACCAATTTGCAGCTCCACCAGCAGTGGAGTAGGGTTCCCTTTTCCCCGCATCCTCGCCAGCAAGCGTCGTTGGTGTTCTTGTTTATGTGGGCCAATCTTACTGGTGTTAGGTGGTACCTCATCGATGTTTTAATTTGGATTTCCCTTATTGCTAGGGAGCTGGAACATTTTTTCATATGTTTGTTTGCCATTTGGACTTGTTCCTTTGTGAAATGTTTGCCCATTTCCCGTGCCCATTTCTTGAGTGGTTTGTTTGTTTTGGTTTTTTGGTTGTTTTGAAGTTCTTTGTATATCCTGGAAATTAGCCCCCTATCGCCTATATCGTGTGCAAAGATCTTCTCCCAATCTGTGGGTTGCTTTTTTACTTTGTTGATTGTTTCCCTTGCTGTACAGAAGCTTCTTAGTTTG